AAATCAGGGAAATTCCAGGTTTTGCCCAAAATTTTGATTAAATATTTCAATTCTATTTTATGCAGCCCAAAGAGGGGCAGCAAAACAAAATCCAGCAGGGTTGGACTCCTCCACCCAGAGCATCCCAAGTTTATCAGGGACTAATTAAGAAATTTGTTAATTAAAGACTCTTACCTTCACTTCTGCAGCCATTTTATCATTTGCAAATCCATCCACTGTGAGCTGCAAGGGAAAAAATAAACCCAAATTTAAATTATGAATGAATTATTAAAGTTAAATAAATAAACAAATAATTGTTTAGTAAATATATACTAAATTAATATTTTGTGTGTTTATTTTTAAGAAATAGATTTGTTAAATATATTGATAATATAATATATTAAAATATGTTAATAAAGTATTAAATATATTTAGTTATTAAATATATAAATACATTTATTTACTATTTAAACATATTTATTAAATGTGTTTATTTAATAAATGTATTTATTTATTAAATTTATTTATTTATTAAATGTATTATATTATTTAAATATAAATTAAATATAAATAAGATAAAAAGATATATTCTTATTTAGACAGATAAAAACATTAAATAAATAAATTTTACTGATTTATTAAATAGATATAAAATATAATATATTTATTAATTTTTAAAATAAAAATTATTTGGTTAATTTTATTATTTTACTTCATTATTTTATTTAATTTTTTCATTATTTATTTTATTAATTAAGGAAAACTAATTTATTTTCTATAGTATTAAATAGATTTATTAAATATAAATAAAACATTCCTATTTTATACAATAATAAATTAGTGTATAGATATTTTAATATAGATATAGATATTAAATATAAATGCAATTAAATAGATTTATTAACTATATTATTTATTAGAAATAAAAAAATTAAATTATTACATTTATAATTCAAATTATAAAAGTAATTATGGATTTATTAAATTATTAAACACAATTTATTAAATTGAATTGAATTGAATTGAATTAAATTGAATTAAATTGAATTGAACTGAATGAAATTGAATTAAATTGAACTTTTCCAGTCCCAGGTGAGCTGAAGTTTCCCCCAGGGCTCTTAATCTGGAGATTAAGAATCCACCTTGGTATTAATTATATAAAATTGAACTGAATTGAATTAAATTAAATTGAATTAAATTGAATTGAATCAAATTAAATTAAATCAAATTAAATTGAAAATTTCCAGTCTCAGATGGGCAGGAAGTTTCCCCCAGGGCTCCTGTACCTTTATCAGTCTGGAGATTAAGAATCCACCTTGGTATTGATTATATTAAGTTAAATTGAATTAAATCGAATTAAATTGAATTAAATAAAATTAAATTGAATTAAATTGAAATCAATCGAATTCAATGGAATTCAATGGAACATTTCCTGTCCCAGATGGAGGCTCCTGTACCTTTTTCAATCTGGAGATCAGGAATTCATCCTGGTATCGATTATATTAAATTAAATTGAATTGAATTAAATGGAATTAAATTTAAATAAATTGAATTCAATGGAACATTTCCGGCTCCTGCACCTTTATCCACCTGGAAATCAGGAATCCACCCTGGTATCAATTATATTAAATGGAATTAAATTAAAATAAATGGAACTGCACACCTTTATTAATCTGGAGATCAGGAACCCCCCCCCGATAGCAATTGTATTAAATTGAATTAAATGGAATTAAATTGAATTACTCCATACCTTTATCAACCTGGAGATGAGGAAGCCACCCTGGTAGCGGTTGTATAAAATTGAATTAAATTTAATTTAATTAAATTAATTGAACCAATACCTTTATCAACCTGGAGATGAGGAAGCCGCCCTGGTGGCGGTAGTAAAAAATGGAATTAAATTAAATTAAATGGAATTAAATGGAATTCCATACTTTTATCAACCTGAAGACGAGGAAGCCGCCCTGGTGGCAGTTGTATAAAATTGAATTAAATTGAATTAAATTTAATTTATTGAACTAATACCTTTATTAATCTGGAGATGAGGAAGCCACCCTGGTGGCGGTGGTATAAAATTGAATTAAATTGAATTAAATTAAATTAAATGAACGAATACCTTTATTAATCTGGAGATGAGGAAGCCGCCCTGGTAGCGATGGTATAAAATTAAATTGAATTAAATTAAATTAATTGCAGTAATACCTTTATTAATCTGGAGATGAGGAAGCCGCCCTGGTAGCGATGGTATAAAATTGAATTAAATTA